CCCACCGACATGGAGGCGTGCAAACGTATTCCTTTCTTTTCCACCGGGTCCTACTTCTCGCTCTCTGCGGGCCCATCCCCCTTTTATTTCCATTTACGCCCGTCCGCAACGCGTGATCGCGCGACTCGTTACTCGCAAATTGACGCGGTTTCGCGTTTAAGCGTGATGTATAGACCGTGTCGGCAGGTTATACTTATAACGATCAATGAACGACAAACGACAAAAAACGCGGTCGCTTAAACTGCGCGATCTGCATTCGTGCCACGCGACGCCACGGATGAGTTCTCTTCGCCCGTACGAATTCGAATGCCTTTGGATGCGGCTTTTCGAGCGAGTTTTTTGCATTCATAATACTTCAGATTATATCTCGCCGCAGCGTATATTTTGTACTTTAAGTGTCCTCTCATTTCATAATTGACATCCTTACAAATCAAATTTAATATTTTTAACAGTTTTTTGTTTATTTTGCCATTTCTATCTCTGCTCATATTTTTCTTTACTATTACGTCTATAAATAAATGTTGCGTGACTCTAAATTATACATGCATGTTGACAATGTCATCACGCGCAGCGGCATGTGAAATGATGTAACTTTTTACTACTAAGATAATAGGAAGTGATTCGCGAGTGTGAAAATTACTCGATCATATTTCATCAAAACTACTTATTATACTAGTTTTTCCTCGTGAATATGATTGTATGAGTACGATTACGGCGCGACGTATAATTACATTTTAACATATTGAGAAAATATTTGTCCTTAGAGTCTGGAATAACCGTCAATTAACACTGATGCCGCTTTATGTATATGTGCAGATTTGTGCGACGGGACAAATGGAATGTAATACAATATTGATTGCAAATCATAGCGCGTGTGAAAAATTACGTTTGAATTGAAGGAAGCGATAAAAATCAGAATTTCGTTTTCCTATAATGTTATCGAATCCTCTAATCCTAGAACGTGCGCTCATCTTTCTTGAAACAATAATTAATATTTAAACCTTCCGTTGACCGTTGGCAGTAGTCGGTAGATACTGAGTCTCATTCTCGGAAAAGAATTGACGTTTGTCGCATGATGAATATCCTGTCGCTATCGCGACGTGCCGATCGCCTCGCGCGACTCGCAGGTGCGCGCAAGTTTCCCGATCGCGAAATTTATAGACTGATTCGCGTCTTCCTTCGCGTTCGCGAGCCAGCGCCGATTCTTCGTCGTAAGATCTGGAGCGCGCACTGGGAGAAAAGCATAGCCGAAGGGAATCGGCTCCGATTCAATGCCCTTATTCGTTGCGGTCGTACGTTATGGAGCGTTATCGCGATACAGGTGTGCGTACTCGCGGAAGACAAACGCGGGTCGTTACGCGGGCCGAAGCGGTATGCAGATGAGTTCGCTGCAGCAGCGGTTACGTTGCGAAGCACTTCGGCCCGGATATCGTAAACGCGACGATATAGGCTCGGTCGTCGTATACCTAACCGATTGCCCCGTTTTTGGAACGAACATCGATCGCGCCGATTGTACGGAATGTCTGCACATGCGTTTCTGGAGGTCGTGAAATCGTCTCGTTGCAAGTACGGATACCTTCCAATTGAATGGCATGAGCTTCGTATATGGAAACTAAGTATAGTTCTATTATCGACGAAAAATCGATCATTTCTAAAATTGATGGATAATTAAAATTGTTATTATTATTACTACTACTGTCGAGGTCAATTTTATCAAACTTATCTTTTCAACTGCAGATGTTATAATGAATTGAGGTCAAATTTTCGTTAGCAGAAAGCTTGAGAAACGTTGCTTGTCAGTAATTTTAAATATGATTATGTATTTTAGTTATTCTATTAAATACACTGACACAATTATATTACATACATATATACTTTAAATTAAATTTCTGATGAAGTAAATTCAGTTTAATTAAATGAAAGACAATTTTGTAATCAATTTTATGGCTCTTATACCGAGAAAAAAAATTCGATTATGATAAATGCATATTAAAATTGAAAATAAATGCATGGAAAATTGCGTCACAAATTAAGATTGCCAAGCAGGTACCTACTTCCCGCAGAAACGTTTCACCGGCACGATACCCAAGCTAATGCATTTCTCATACTTTCCGCGAGCGCGAACAAGCGATAGATCTCTCGTGGAGTGAGTCACGCCTAGCCGATCGACGCCGATTCGTACGATCGCTGATAAGGTCGCTCGTGAAACTCTTTAAGCGTTAAAGTTCTCTATACCGATACATCGAGTCGTGCAAACGCGAGTGGTCGTTCGAATCAGTTGTATTACGCGCGGAAACCTCTGCCGTTTTATAAAAGCCACCAGTTGAATCGTTCTCGCGTCATAAATTTGGGAATCGCGACGGTAGTGCCATAAAGCGAAAGAACCCAGACGAGAGACGAGAGGTGGCACGCGCGCCCGTTTAATCCCTCGTCGAAAACTGCGAGGCGGAATCGGCAAGTTCGACGAGCTAATCGTCGCTTCGTAAATTAATGCGGCCGCTTAACTGAAATTTCGAACGATATTTATCCCCCGGCCACCGCTCGCTCGCTCGCTCGCTCGTTCTCTCTGGTCGGCGATAAATTATAAGAAGCGGCGGATTACGTCATAATGGACGCCGAGCACGCGCATCTGTTTTACGAGCGCGGCGTTACGGTAATCGTTGAGCGAACCGACCGACCCATCGCCCGCCATCGCCGTCCGCGTTTCCCGCTTATAATCGGCCGTACTCTCAATGAGTCCTGTATCACTCTACCGGTTCACGGAGCGAACGGGAGGAGAGGGGGAGAGGGGGAAGTGTTCCCTTCCGAGGGACGGCGAGAGAGGGTGCACGCCGTAGTCCTCCCCCGAGGGAAGGCAAAACCGCGGTGCGTATAATCACTGTAATTTCGATCGGGGCGCAATTTTTGTCCAGGCCGATCGCGACGTCTCGTCCGATTTCATTAACCCTTCATCTCGGCCCGGCAATTTCAATCGAAGTATCCCGTACAATGTCCTACGGAAGCAAAATCGTGGGAAGCGAAAGCTGGTAAGACATCACCTTTAATTTTTCTTTAAGCCTTCTGCTACAGAAGACGTGATCAAATTACGTCAAGAATGGGATTTGATATTACTTTAATTATATAGGTATTATAGATCATTTTTATTGCCGTTCCGTGTATTATTATTTTTATACTTTGTTTACACTTATATTCATAGATAAATATATTCATCATAAATAAATTCATCGCAGATAAATGCAATCGTGAAAGTTACTTGTTTGACATTAACATATACGATTAAAAAAATGGTTATTTCGTTCCGTTTTCTTTGCTCTTAGAAGCGTCAGAGTTCTCGTTAAAACATTAATGAAAAATAAAAATCCAATTTTGTGTTTACATTTTCTAGTCTAGATACATCGATTGTACTTAGGATATGATAGATGTAACACCGATTGGCTGTCATAAAATTGAAAAAGATTAATGTCAGCGTAACCTCACACTGCTCTTTACAGGTCGCGTAACGATAACACGGCGTGACGTGCTAATTGCGGTAGATTTCGCGTTACGTAGCACTTTCTTACCCTCGACATGCACTTTTTTTGCTTGTGAACGCACCCTTTCTCTGCGTGTCATACTTTCAGCAGTCTAATTTTTAATTGGAAACAATATTTCCATTGAAAGAACTTAATTTAAAAATTTGAAGATCGGAGTGAAAAGAAAATAATTACATTTTCTTTTAACAATTATATTTTTTAATTATTTCATTATTTATTAATTATTTTAATTATTTTATTAATTGTCTTAACTATGTAGAAGTCACGCAAGGTATATGAATCGATTACTGGAAATGCAAAACATAGTAATTTTTAATCATGTATTATATAACTAGTAAAAGTCTTAACATAGTTTTTATAATCATACACACAAAATATTAAAAGAATCTTTTAAAAATCTTAAATAAAGATTTAATAAATAATTGTAATAATAATATACGCTCGTTATAATTTATTATTTAATATGTACTTTATTCAAGTAATTTTTTGTTACTTATATTCTTTTCAGTTTTTATTCGAATTAAAATTTGTAATTTTAGATCGAACAATTATCATTTATTAAATTTCTAATAGACGCGTTCGTATAATATTGCGTACAAAGCGATTTAGTACAACGTACAAAGAATTAAGATATTTTGACGATTTACGATCGACACGGTAATGCGTCGCTCGCACGAAATAGGAGATGCAGCGTACTGGTTGGTTCGGAAATTTCACGCGCCTCACGGCGATGATTCGTACGCACGCCGGCGGGCAAAAAATACAATTTTTGCTGCCGCCTACGTCGTCGTATCGGTACGCGCGATACTATCGCCATTCTCCGATTACCGATTTTATCGGGCCTCAATAAGATCGCGCGATCGCGACGAACGCGATATTCTCGCTTTCGTCACGGAGGTATTGTTCCCTGTCTAAGTGCCATACCGTTCCGTATAATCGTATAATCCAATACGAAATACACATAACTAAAGCGCATCGGTCAAAGCGAAAGATTTCTTGTCTCTCGTTTTGCAATCTTGAAAAGAATGCGCGATGTAATTTCAAGAGCTTTTAAATGATGATGTGAGTTGGCGGATTGTTGTACGCGAGAAAAACCTATGACCTCAAGAGACAAGAATAGCCTCTTTATGAATGCTGTTGATTACTGCGGATATAAAAAGGCGTGTATTCTGAAGCCAGTATAAAAAGATAACGAGAGAATACACGAGTGTCTTGTATTATTTATGACATAAACTGTATAGATATCGTCATATCACATTCTGTAGCAATAATATCGAGAACAATTTGATTTATTATGTTGACAATCTAATTTAAATTTCATATTCCGAACAACTGGATTTTCGCTTTTGCAGACAGAGGACTGAATTTTTCGCCAAAACGATGTTAAAAAAATGAGAGAATAGAAATTTCAGAGGTATGATCGTTTTAGATAGGGAAAAAAAACAAGGGAAAGGGGAGCAAACTCACAGGCATCGGTGGATGAAGTCCGCGGAACGCGGAGCTGCTCCACTTGCGCTGCCTGGCCGGGTGATAGTGGCCGCTTCTGCTGTAGGCGCTGTTGTTCTGATGATTGCCGTACGAGCGCATGGCGGGCCGGAAACCCGGGTACGGCACACCGTGCTGGAAGTCGCCGGCGTCGAAGCGGTGATGATGGGGCTCGTGCAGGAAGCCATCGTTGGGAACCGGTGGCAATCTGCCGTAGGCGGCGGCAGCGGCAGCGGCGGCAGCCGCGTGTCGGTCGACGTGCGACGACGTCGTCTGCTCGTCGCCGATCTTGCCGATCGGCCCGTCCGCGGACGGGCGTCCGGTCGGGAACGACGGCATCATCGCCGGATGATGATGATGCCCGTAAAAAGATGGGAAGCCGAAAGAGTTGGGCAATCCCGCGGGACGGTATCCCTGATGAGGATGCGGCGGCGGTGGCGGCGGTGGCGGTGGCGGTGGCTGTCCGGGAGCGTCCAGAACGTATCCCGGCTTCTTGTCGCCGTATAAGTGATAACCGTCGTTGCTCGGCTGCTGCCGCTGATAATCCTCCCGGGGCTCACCTTTGACCTCGACGCCGGCCTCCGTGGGCTCGGGCATCTCGACTTTAACCCTCACTGCACCGTCGTTCCTGTCTACGCCGGGTTCGCTCTTGATCGCGAGGCCAATCGGCGACCTCGCCGTGGGACTCGTCGTGCCGAAGTCCTCGTCGCAGCCACCTACACTGGCCTGCTGCATTCTCGGGTGGTTCACACCGATTCGACGCCGCGGCGGCGTTCCTCGTACAACCACGACGGCGTCATCGCCCCGTGTATTTGTGGTACACTCGTTAAGCTGCGATTGTTGGGCGAAAAGATTGGCTGTCGCTTAGCTGCGGAATCGCGCGAGCAAAGCGAGACGGAAAACACTGTCGTAGACGAACAATAGTGGAATCGGATGCGCATTATTTAATTTGCGGTAGTTAAGTTCTCGGAATGGGGCTCAGCCTCCTCGCGAGATTCGGAAGGGAACAGGCAATATAGGAGCGAATATTCTCTGCTGCTGCGAGAGTATCGCGTCGCACAGTCCGTGAATGCGAGAATTCCGTCAGAGCGTCGCATTCGGCACGGGATACGCATTCGGTGCGCGCTGTAAACGCATAGCTGGCGTATAATCCTCCGGAGCATTCATGATCGTCTTAGTCCCACATCGTGGGATTTCCCGGTGCAATTCCGTGTGGAAAGCCTCGCGTCACACGTACGCGCACACACGTGCCGGAGTTCCCTCGGAACGGGCGTCGTCCGTCCGTTGGACGACACACGTTCACCCACGGTAGAAGCGTGGGTCGGTCGCGTTGGATTTCGGTCGCATGGAGGGGGGCGAACGAAGGGAGGGCAAGGGCGGCGTGACAGTTTCCGCGTCACGTGTCCACCGACCTTAGGCCCCGCCTACGACTCCGATTTTCCCTAACGAGCAGGATCGTTACTTGGCCCTTCCAAATTCGTCATTTGTCGTCACCCGCGTCGAGTCACAGGGTTAGTGATCGCGCGGGGGAAACGCAAAGGGGAGAGGAGAGGCGAAAGTCCCTCTCGAGCGCGAGACGCCTAGGTCGAGGGAAGCAAAAACAACAAAAATGTCACTTCACCGGAGAGCTCCGATTTCTCGTGCGGTCACCCGCGTCACTCCTCTCTCCCGCCGCTACCACCCTCGCTTGCCCACCACCTTCTCTTCCTCCTCCACCACTTCCTCCTCCTCCTCCCCCTCCTCCTCCTCCTCCCCCGCTTCCTCCGTCCTCCCTCTCCACTTCTGCGACAAACCGCCGAGCGTGAAGCACCACGCGAACACCGGACGCGCGATTGGCGCGTTTTCTTGCCGCTCCCGCCGCCGTCGTCGCCGCAGCCGCGAGAACTCTTTACGGTACACTGCCTCGAGAACGCATCGCGAGTCCCCGGCGCGGAACCACGTCAAGTACCGGACCGGGACGGTTTCGCGCCTCCGCGCGGTGCACGCGTGTGCGGGCTGGTATGCGTGCGATATGCGTGTGCGTTTGCGTGCGCTTTCCGCTGGCTCGCACACGAGACACGTATAGGGCACCAACAATCGTCGTATCGTCGTCGTCGTCGTCGTTGTAGTCGTCGTCGCGGTCGTCGTCGTCGTCGTCGACGTCGTCGCGAGCAGCCGCCCGATATTATCACGACGAGTAGGCGACGAGAGAAGCTGTCGGCCGGCGCGAAACACGCAGCGGGGCCCGATACGCAGAGGAAGGCCGGCGGCCTCGGTCGAGCTGATCGCGTACGTACGAGTTTCGTTCCACGCAGCGTGAAACTCTTGGCGGTGGTGCGCGGCGCGCGGCAGCCACCACCAGTCGACGGGAGCACACGAATCCGCCCGAATACGGCCGAGAGAACGCTTCGATATATCTCTCTACCTACCTACAGAGTACTCCGGCCGCCTCCCGCCTTCCGCAAGCGAATACCGCCGCCACCGCCACCGCCGCCGCCGCCGCCGCCGCCGCCGCCGCCGCCGACCAACAGACCCACGAAGTGGGTTCACCTTTTGTGAGGCCGTCGGGTCTCTCGCGCTCTCGCCGAGATCTCGTCGCTTGCTTCGGTAGAATCATACTCCATCATGTTCCGAGTTCTAACGAGTTCGGCTCGAGACAACTGAATCTTACAATTAAAGTTGAAATTCATAGTCAGAAAAAAATGGCTCTCAGGATTACACGCAGTCACGCAGTTAATATATCATGCGAAATTTACGCGTAGAAATCGATATTAATCTCACTTTAGAATGCGTTACTTTCTATGATGTTATACGATGTTTTAGACTTGTTATGAGATGTTCGATTAAAGTAAGGATCGATATCGGCAAAATCACCACAATGATTAGAAACACGAAAATTACGTTAATTATATGGTGATGTTACATGTTACGTATTTGACGACGATAAATGTTAATAATACAGGAAACAGGCTAAAAACCGGAGCAGTCAATGATCCCGAAAATACATATCTCATTCAATTAAACGCGGTATTGAATCCCGTAAAACTGAGACGGCTGGTTACACTAGTTTAGATATAGGGTTCATCATCGAGTTCGGGACGGAATCGATGCAAAATTGCGTTTGCAAATTTGGTTATATCCGCGAATCTCGTGTTTCGGAACGTACATTATACGTTCGTTATAGCGTCAACGGAGCGTAACTCATTTGTATCCGCATATAATTCGCATTTAATCGCCGATCGGGTTTAACCTGACAAATTTCCCGTCCACCGAGAGTTGTCGGCCTCAGATTCCCGCGCGCACCTTTCCCGCGTGAGAGAATCTTTTTTTTTCCCCCGCCCGTCGCTACTTTGTATCTCGCCCTGCGCCGGCTGGTGTAGCCGCGATGAGAACCGTCGGGAACGCGGGGTGTATGCCTGTGTGCCCCGCCGCCGCACGATATATCAGGTTACATATCCGTTGCGTCATGTAAATTGATACCTGTACACGCTCGTACACCGATCGGGCATTTATTTAAGCCATAAATTATCGTAATGTCGATTGGACACGCTCCTAGGTGTACGATTTTACTAACCCAGACCGTCGGCGCGGTTATAATGCTCGAGGCTGCATGGAGACAATAAAACACGCGTTCACGCGCGCGCTTAGAAGCCGTCATATTACGCAATTACAAACAAGGAAGCCGCGCGCGCGGACATCATTTAAATTTACGACGACGAAAGGAGGATGAAAAAAACGGAATTAACGTCTCTCAACGCTTCTATTTAATTGCAAAATGAATGATTTGTACGAATTACACTTTCTGCGTCAAGTAAAGCTGCAGACAATGGCACGGCCATTCGAATTCGACAGCGATGAAACGAATATATGGGTCGTTATGAAGGGTATTTTATGTATTTTTGAAAATCTCGCAACCAAAACTCGATGTATCTGCATGTATCTCGAAACGCTAGCCTTATTATTACGAGCTCTCGCTCTCAAAGTTCATTCAAAGAGTGAAAAGGATTGTCCGTTATCGCGGATTGTCAACGAACGGGTCCTCCATCGTTGCCGACGATGTCAAAGGTTTACAGGCGAAGCATCCCGCGGATATTCATCCACTTTTAACATTCATCTGCCAGTACGCGCACCGGGTACTGTCACGGCGATTTCTTAGCTCGTATAAAACCGTCATGCCGCGGATAGAGAGATTTCCTCCGCGGGAAACGAGGCGGTTATTTTTTTTTTCTCTCTACAAGCGCCTCCGTGTTTTGTCTCGCGTGGCAGGTAAAACGACGAGCGATGCCGCAGGTATTGCGTATAGAGCGGCCGTTGCGGGCTTCGCCTTTCGAGGTAGCCTACGTGCACCCATCCGTATATACCGCGTTGCCGAGACAAAAGGAGCAGGAAGGACAGAACCGTGGGTTCCCTCCTTGCCCCTCTACCTCCCTCTTTCTCTCTTTCTCCCCTGTCTTTCCCGCTTGCTGCCGCCCTTTTCTCTTCTTCTCCCTCTCTCTTTCTCTCTCCCGACGCGCAGCGCTCGTCGATACTCGGCTTATACGACTCGCGCGGGGCGAATCGATGCGTGTGTGCATGCACTCTCTTCGCAGCGGGATGACTGGTGAGAGAATTCAATTTCCGTCGTCGTTATCGTGCCTCCATCTTCAGCTCGGGCCACGCTCGGATCATCCTCGCTGACTCCTCGCTTTCCCCTCCCCGCCGTCGCCGCCGCCGTCGCCGCTGCCTGCCGGCAGTAACGAGACAAAGCCGTCATTGCCTTCGCTTTTGCCCGCGCGCGCCTCGTCTTCGCGACCTTTCCGCCGGATGGACCGTCAGGAGCGCGCGCGAGCGCGCACGTTCGCGAGGGAACTCTCGATAAAGATCAGCCGGATCAGCGACTAGTCTTAGAGAGCGCGCATGTTTAATTATATCGAGCGACTCGGAATGGAATCGCGTCCCGGCGCTCGCTATATATCGCATCGGCGATCGATTCAGACCAGATTCGATCTCGGGCTCGTAATAATGCGAGAGACGATCGAAGGAAACTCCTCGATTCCCCTGCTGAAACGCAACGATCAGATAGCAATCATATTTATAGGCTTCGGGGCAAGTTTCGCAAAAGTATAGTCGTTAAGACAGGACTCGAGAGGCAGAGTGTCGTGAGAGCGTGTATAAATATCCTTTGGATAAGCGTATATAAGTTTGCTGCAAAACTCGAGAAAATCAATAGCGACAACGAGACTGTCGATACCGCGCGAGTACTAAACAAAAGACACCAATATAGTTATACGTGGTAGATCAAGTCGGGGCTCGATAAGACGATTCTACATTCGCAAGTGTAGATAACAGGCCTTGTTTTGACGTATCTCATGCCAGGAAATGGCCGTCACGCTCGGATATGAGATACGCCACGCTGGACGCGATCATCGCCCGAACGTATATCGGGATCTAAAAATCAACCCGCGACATATTCCGCTACTATCGGTCGTTATAAGATATAATGCGCGTCTCAACGCGAGCCGCGTTCGGTGAAGCGATTACGTTTTACGACCGGGCGAATATAGTCCCCGTTACGCAATCGGGCCGCGCTTCCCAGCTGTCCGATTGGCAGTTTAGGTAGAGACGGTCTGTTCTGTGTGGACTGGGGCAGCGCCGAGGAAGTGTGTGTGTAGGTCGACCGCATGTGCATATCGATCGCAGCGATCGTTACTCTTACGTTTGCATTTTCATTGTAAACCGAGGTAATATACCCGAGTGAAGACTCTGTATCTGTGTTGGGGAGTTTATTATAATAATTGATCACAAAGGCAGATAATTTTTTTTCCTACTCGGTAATCAAAAAATAATAAAGACGGAGAAACTTGATTTATTCTCTTCTCTTTAATATTTCCGCTACTCCTTAATTATATATTCCGGATTCCCTAGTACGGAGTAATATTTTTGCTGATTACACATAGATAAGAATTGTGTCGAAAAGTCAATGCGCGGGAGTAACGTGACAGAAGGCATTTAAACGGTGAATGCAAATCGCGCGAGGAGTCGCGTTGGTCGTCGCTTTTCTCCCGGGTTAAGAGTGCAATGTCCCGGGTGTTGCGGCGCAAACTAACGCGGTTATATCTATGTATATGGGAATCGAGAGATGTGCTCCGCCGGGCCACGGATCTATACATATTTCCGTCGCGTTCGCCCGCATCGGCGACGTGATAGCGCGTACACGCCCAACTGAGGCAAGCCGATCAATCCTCGGACGGACGTACCTAAGGACAACCATCGCGCGCGGACCCGCGCGCTTTCCGCCGTTCTCGCAGCTAGGAGCGGCGTGCGGCTCCAGCAACGATCTCTCCTGCGCCGCGGCTGATTCCTGGAGAACGACGGGGCGTGTGTCACCAGAAACTCTGGGGACAGATCGGGCCAATGGGAAGTGGTGGAAGGCGTGGATCCGCGGCGGCCACGGAGGACAGTGCGCGGCGGACGACACGGACGGCAAAGTAGGGGACTCTCTCTCTCGAGGCGACACGGGAACGGTCGCCCCACCGTCCCTTCGCCGCCGCCGTCGCCCCGCTTCCCCGCGCGGGATCTCACGGTCGCAGAGTCGCCCCGGTCCGTCCTGGTGGGAAAAGCGACGTAGGGGTCGTAGGAGAGGTGACCCGGCTGGTGGGGACGCCGATACACGCCCATTCTCTCGTGGTGGGGCGACGGAGAGACCGTCCGCGGGAGAGACCCCCGCTTGTCCTGCTTGCTCCACGACCCTGCCGGCGGCGCGTGTGGCATCTGGTGGTACAGATACGACATCGCACGGCTGACGCGGGGAGATTGCCGCCGACCAGCCGCGCGCACCAGCGCGGGAACCCCGCTCTCGTCGATCCCGACGAGAACGCGTTGCGTAATGTGCAGAATGGTCGCGGAGCTCGAGTTGAAGATCAAGAAATGTAATCTCGATATTTATAAATGTAACTAAATCTTGCATATCTAAATTTTTAATCAAGCTTTCTTTAAATGATAAACGAACTAAGATCTCTTAGCTATGAGTGACTGATCACTCGGGAAGCGAGAATGGATGTGGAAACAACTAGTTAGTCCTCCTAATTTTGGTCTTGGATATCTCTCATTAGGAGAAAATCCCGAGACACCCCGTATACGTCACACAACGAAGATCGGAAAGCGGCGGAGCATGTGTCACGAGCGATTGACGCCTCTTAATTGTGGATTTTCTCTTATCTACTGTCACCCTCCCTCCTACGTCGGAGCGCTAAGCTCGCGGATTAGTCTCTCTATCACCGACGACCCGCGTCGGACGGCCCAATCTTTCTCCCCGATAGCCGCGCTTACTCTCTGAGGGCTTATTGCATCCATCGGTACATTCCAGCGTTAGGAATTCTCGACGCGGTCGACAAATATCGCTATCCGTAACTCAGAGTATTCCACGATCCCGATAGCCGAAATATCTGTCATTCTGCAGGTACTAATTACTCCTTGCATTACATTTCGTCGATTACGTATCAGATTTTGCGGTAAGTGAACGTTTCAATTAGTGATCGTTAGTTCGCATTGGGGAAATATATACGTTATTGCGGAATATCCGAAAATTTCGGCCGACTTCAACGGGACGCAACAACAATAACGTAACCGTATACGCAACGGAATGATTTATGCGGATCAATAGACGTGGTTTGTATTTCAGTGCTCATTTAAAAACTGCTTTAGCTGACGAGCACTAATATTCGTAAAATGAGCTTGTTAAATGTAAAAGGTAACAATTATATTAACCTTTTCACTACTTTTGATATATACATGATTTTATATTCTGAAATTATATTACGCATATACATGACACATCGTACACATTAAAAAGGCATTTGTAATACACAATTAATTATAATTAAGCAAAGTTCATGAAATAGTTTCATATATATTACATTGCAGAATTTACAGATATTGTTTTTTAAATAACTTTTAATGAACGTAATCTAAATATAATCTAAAATAATATATGAATGAATGAATAATATAAATACTCTAAATCTATAATGAGAACCAGTTATAAGCCAGATGAATAATCGTCACCAACCAATCAACTGCCGCTATAATCAACTACTACTAATCAACTACTACTAAACTGCTGCGCGCGTCCGATTCATCAAGCTAAAGTGCCGTGCACTCACGCGGACACGACGACCGCCGCGCATCGTCCGTGCGTGCTGCCATCGGAGAAGTCAAGTCAAGAACATTCGTGAGATCGCGATTAATCTAACGAGAAGCGCATATCCGTTTCCGATGTAGACGCGAATAGAGCCCGGAGTCGGGGCAATTTGGATCGCGCGTTCCGCGAGGCGCGCGCGAAGGGATGGGGGAGGGGAGGTGAGTATAGACGTCGGAGTCTCTCCGTGTCGTGGCGGCGACGGGCGCTCGACTTCAACGGAAATCCACTCGAGCGAGAGAGCGACGTGTATATCCGTCGGTCGGTCGGTCCAGGCCTTGTACCAGACCCGAGACACGCGCGCGCGCACGCGTTCGCGCGAGCACGAGATATAACCGGGTTTTTCTTTCGACAGTCACTTGACATTAAAAGTCACGGTATTCCGTGCAGCCACCCGTCTCCCCGTCACGTCAGGTTGACGGATCGGCGCGCGCACTCAGGAAATTAGGCAATTTCCGGGCCGCGCTCGCTCGTGTCTGCATTTAATAGCACCGCGCCAGTTACTTACCAGTTCGGCGGAGTCGGAGAGAACACCGTGGTCGGGACACGACGAGCGGTATCGTTGTACGACGTATCGTTGTGCGGGGCGGGCGGGCAGGCTCGCGGCCGTGCCCCCGTGGTGTGTATATCCACCCACTCTTCTTCATCGTCAGACCAGACGTCCCATGCCTGATCGATCGCGCGCACTCGAGTCTTCGTACGTGCTCGTTTATGAGACACGCCGGATTCTCCTGGCGCTTATTAGCTCACGATTCGCAGCTCCATCGAGCTTTCTGCTTTTCGCAGGTCGCAGACCTGAAATGACAGGTGAAATGCATTAATTTTTTGTTATTCTTACAAAATCTATCATAAAGGGCAGCTGCGTTTTTCTAGCGTCGCTTTAATTCATTTCCTCTCTCACGTTAACTTTCGTACTTATCGTGTCTAAGTTTGTTAGGGATTATTGTACTTAATTTGTTATTACTTGTTTTATTATTATTAATCATTGAGATATTTGATTCTCATTTTACTTACGTCTTTTGCTTTCGTTCTTATTTCTCTTATTAATACATGTACAAGAAATTACTTATACAGTATATTATTCATAGAATAATTACATAATGATAAAACAAATATTGTATACATTCTTAAACATAAAAAAAATGTATTACTAACTTAAATTATTATAACAATATTAATAATGATAAATTATATGTAAAGTATTTTTCTTTTAAACATTTACATGGTCAGTTGCAATCTTTAAAATAATCGGCGATGAAACTGTTCAGAGCTTTCATCAAGATCGCTTCACGTTGATCAGACAGAAGCAAATAGAATCATCGCAATATCCTGCGAAGTGGTCAACAACGCGACGGCGTGCGACAATGTTTCGCGCGCTGGGCGGGTATCGTTAGGAGCGCATAATGGAGCCTCTCTGTCGGTGGTGCGCGGTGGTCGGTGTTGATAGCCCGGTACGGTGAGAGCGAATCCCGGGGTCACCCCCGGGGTCACTAATGACATACGCAGACTCTCGCCGTGTATACAGACAGCGCGGCGATCGTACGCACGCACGCACGCACGCACGCACGAGCTGGCGCACGCACACGCTGATGTACACACGTGCGTACGCGAGCGCGAGCGCGCGCCCGCGCTCTCTCGCGCATCCCACACGGAACGCAGACGCAAAAGCGAAACACGAATTGGCCTCATCAAAGCGAGCAAACAATGCCGGATGCCGCCGATGGTTCAACAAACGTGTGGTTAGCCAAATCACCGTACGGCACGTAGCGCACACCGATGCCGCACATCGAGAAATGCCGAACAATGCAACAACGCGCACCGATGATACTCCGACTCCGCGCCGCGGTGCATCGACGCCGCGATGCAGCGCGGCGGCCCTGAAATGCGCAACGATCGCCGTGCGTTGCGCCGCAACGATACTTAACGGCTCGCCTGGATGCGTCCCTATACGCGCGGCGATAGCGCTCTCATGTTTATTTTCTTTGCGCGCGAGACGCTCATGTCGGGAAATTGCACGGTGCTCTTTCTCTCTAGGTGCAAATATGATGCTTAAGAAATAATTTCAAGACGAGGGTGGAATCGCGCTTGTACATATACAGAGATGATTATCTCCCCCCGGTAGAATTTTCTGCGAGATGAGCGAGCGCGAGTGACATACGATCCGGCGAACGCGTCTTGTTGTTAGTGTCGATTCGTTTCGATTGCACTTTGTTGCGCTTTCTATCTTTGAAATGAAGCAGGTGTATATTAAGATTTCGAGGAAAGATTATTTGCGTCTCAACAATACCGAGAACAGATTCCATATTAACGAGAGATAGATGAAAGCGCGAAGAAACTGGAAATATCTTCGCATATGATGAAAGATATACTTATATATTTCCTTATTTCCAAGAAGACGTTACTTTGGACCGAAAAACCAATTCCGCTCCCTTCTCACTCTTTCTCGGTTCTTGAATAGACACTAATAGGACCGAAATCCATTTCGCAGACGGGAGGAAGCTGTTCCGCGTTGCCGAGAAGTATCGATGAGGCTCTCTGACGGTGGTTACACATGTGGAGCAGGACAGAGGGTCGGCTTGCAGGCAGAGAGGAACCGTCTAATAAAAATGTTAATTGCACGGCTCGTTAGAAGACCCCCCGCGACGTCTGCTAGAAGTTCAGCCGGGGTCGCCTCGCGGGGAGTCCGCAAGTATTTGCCTTTAAACCTTCGTCCTTTTTCTCGCTTTCCTTTCCTCTCTTTTTTCATCCACTTCGCTCGATTATTTATCGCCCGATGGATCGTATACGCGACCACGTGCAGAATCTAGCTTATGCGTTTTCTCTCTCTCTCTCTCTCTCTCTCTCTCTCTCTCTCTCTCGTGCGCTTCCTAGATCGAAGAGAACTAACCACCGTCGTAATGAGACCGGAGTTTGATAGCGTAATCCAATTATTCTCGCGCGAAATCTTCCGCGATCTCGAAACGGCAAATGTATATAAAATGCCGAGCCAGAAGCGGACCCCGAAGCGTAATTCGTCTACGGAATTTATTCTTCTGCTTTTGCGATGCTCGCGATAAAACGATATTGCTAGGAATCGCATTTTTTAGTGAGAAAATTTGCGAAATATTTACGTCGAGATAACGCACATCCTTATTAATCGTTCAACTGTAAAACGCATATATACATTTGATTTGAATATCAGAGGTAATATCAGCAATTTAATTTATTTCCATCAAGAAAGCAGATGCATTTAATACCTTGGAATAAACATAAAATACATTTATGGTTTCCAGAATCGGTAGCTTCATTAGATTTAGTTTTAATTAATCTTCTAAAATCTTAATCTTAATCTTTCATTAGACACGTTGGATTATATACTCGTCGAAAAAGTAAAAAATCATATCTTTACGAGTCATAATCGTGCAATTATTATACGTTTACATAATAAATTAAAACTGTTATAATATATATTATTTTTTTTATTATAAAATCGGAGGAGAGAGTGTTGTAGCATTATAGCGAAGTTACAGATAATCTATCCTCAAGTATAAAATTGTCATATTTGCTGGTGGTTGCAATAAAAAAAAAAGTAAAAAAGAGAAAACGACTATCAAACCACGCCCGGCATTTTTCGCAAACGAATTGTTCTTTCGACTCCGCGATCAATTCGCGCCAGGCAATTAAATGTAAAAAACACATATTTGATATATAAATATCGCGGCGTGTACATTTCTCGCGCTACGGTTTTCGCTGCGCCATATTAAAAACGAATATTTTTGCAATAAATTGCGCATTCCCCGGCCGGGTGTAACTCAATTTCATCCAGCTTGATCTCCATTTCATCAATTTACATAACCCTCCCCCTGTAATACAATGAAATCAGTTTGAGAGATAAATTCAATAGCTGCGGCAACTTCACCTACACTTCTACGCTCCGAAAGAATTTTGTTTGGTAATTCAATCATGATCTCTCGCTAATGAGCTTCTGGCAAATTTGTTTGCTGCTTAACGCGGAGAATTCTTTTCCCTTTTTTTTTTAAATTAATTTTATCGTGCCACAGCACACACACACACACATAAAATCGCTTTTTACTTTTATATTTTTCGCAAAAATTTATACCACATCTCGTCTTTTTCAAAAAGCTTCTTTCTCTTTCCAGCAGAGCTTCTAGTGGCCGCGGTGTATACACGTTTCGCACAGAAAACAGAGAGCTCTTCCCGGGGCGGTTATCTCGCGCCAGGAAAGAAACGGCTCCGTCCTTTTTCCCGACGGCAAAGAGTCAACGCCAGTTGGCAAAAGCGATCGTCGCTTCGGGGCGCGGCCGCATGGCTGGTCTTTCACGTGGATTAACGCGCGGGCGGAGACCAACTCTCCTCTCTGCCGATGCAGCGGGCGCACTTTGTGTTTTTGGGCATTCAAACGTATATACGGCGGAGGAATACGCGCGGTTTGTCTGACTTGGACACGCGGGTACACACGCGAATAGGTCGAAGGTGCGGGTGAATACGAGAACTGAACGGGAATGAGGGAAGGAGAAAGAAAGAGAAAGAGTCCATTCAGACATTGAGGCAGTTGAACCTTCCGGCAGGCACGGCGGTCCGAGCAAGCCCTTCTTCCCTTTTATATGTACATGTTGAATATTCCCCAGGTTTTAGGCACAGAAAACTAAAAAGCTAATTTACTTTAAAAGTATCCCAACGCACCGTCGCGAGAGAGAGAGAGAGAGAGAGAGAGAGAGAGAGAGAGAGAGAGAGAAGGAAAGGAGAGAGGGAAAGAGACAAGGGGGAAGTGGGTGCTTCATCAAACGTGCTTTTGAAAAGCTAACCCCCGGGCTAATGCAGCCAGCGACAGATTGGCGGTGGCCGCTGATTCTCTCTATGTTCTTTTCGCTCTATCACTCTATCCTTCTTTCCCATTTTGTATCTCTCTCTCTCTCTCTTTCTCCGTTTATCCAGCGTTTGTTTATTCACTTCCACCGATACGGTAGCGAGTAGTCATTTCGCTGATAGCTCAAACGGATTGCGAAAATGTCCAAATGTACCGTCATAAAGACGTTCCACGCGTTGTGACGATTCGGGAGAGAAAAAGAGGAGAAGCGCGGAAGAGAGACAGGGAGAGCTTTGGGAACGGGGAATTGCTCCCGACTAATTTCGGGTTTTAAATCAAAGTCCCGAGTCGAAAGGTCAATGCGTTTTGGTGATTTGGATCCGCACATCAGGCAGTCAAAGCGTCGTTTGTCTATCCGTGTGTTATCGTTGTTATATAAAGCGCACACAGAGCGATACATAAAACACATTGACATCGAAGCCATATAGACAAAACTTTAAAACAACGCAGAAGATAAATTTGAGAAAATCTATTATTCAAGTAAATATTGCATATGTGGAGAACAAACGATCAATTCGAGAGCGAGAGGGAGATTATTATAATTATTTTCGTCTCTGAAAATGTTGCGATATCACAATCAGCCTGAATATCCCGGAAGTACTTTATAAGATGCTTTATTCTCCTTTTCGCCAATACATAATTTTATTTCCGATGCGTTTCTTCTCACACGGCTGCAGCCGAGTCAATTACTTCTCGCATAATTATACTGCTTTGCAATTCTAAAGTCAGTCGCGCTCGTCCGACGATCGTTTCGTCACAGTCCCGTGGAGGGAAACTCGTGGACGCGTCGCCACGGGAAGGAAGGGGGATAATTTTTTTCGCTCGCAACTCTCAACCGGGCGCGGAGAATCGCAGTTGTCTGCGGGGCGACACACAGTCGGTCTCAGGGCCGTCACGTAAGTCGCCGCATTAAACGCGCCATTATACTTGTAAATCTCGAACAATTAGCCGTAATCAAGCACAGGAAACCACCGGGCGAGCGAGCGGGTAACGCAATTATTTTTAAATAGGATTCCGCGCCGGACCGTGCGCGCGCGCGTCTCTCGTCTAAGGAGACTCAGGACTACGACTACGAGTCGTGATTATTAATCCATGCTCGCGAGCTCGAGAGAGATCGTTAGGCAGATTGTGCAACAAGTGCATAAGCGCGGTGTACCGCCGCGCGAGTGCGAGCACTGCAGCGAGCCCGGCGCGCCGGAAGTCGTGCGCGTCGCACCGCCGGCACCTGCCCCGGCTTTGACATCGTGATTGTCGATGGTCTCCGTTCCGTTTCGCGAGTTAACGAGCCTCGAGCTTATTCGCCGAATAATTCATGCGCTCACTTCTAGCGAGAGGCGTCGAATAATTGCATCCTACGGAAACGTATGCGCGCGCGCGCGCGCGCAACCGCGAGCATGTCGTCGCTCGAAGCGTGGATCCAGGATGTGTTAAACGTTAATTATGTAATATCGCGTGGCCGCCGATTTAATATCGATTCGGCCACTCTCAATGGTTGTGTTGCGTCTTATTGGTCAATGTCGCCATCGTCGCCGGAATTTAAAAAAAAGCGTAATTTGTTTTTCCTTGACCGTTGCACCTTGCAATCACGCGGCTATTAGCTCTGATAAATCAAGAACATCGAAGACTAATTGACAGTTATTATTTTCAAACAATTTTACGGTGCGTATTTATTACTAGATCAAGGTATTGCGTTCATGCCACTGCTTATTTCAGTTAACTCGATTTATGTATCCTTCTGAATTTTATTATATTAATTCTTATTGGATCTTGGAGAGATATTTCAAGACAAAAAAGATTTATATTTTAAAAAAACCATTTTTCTTCTCATATAAAACGTTAAATAAAACAAATCACCACGTATCCCCATTTCCCTCCCCGTTGATTTCGCTCGTGTGTCGCGCGGCTGATAAACAGCCCCACCGGATGTGTCCCGATTGATCTCGCGAAAGTTCGTGTCCAGAGCTGGAAAAAGACGAGGGTGAGACGAGAGGGAGAACGAGGGTAAGCCGCTTCGACGGTTAATTCCACTAACGGCTCAGCACGGTTGAGTCGCGAGAAAAAGCGCGCCAAGCTGGGAATAAAAACCCGCCGGCGGAACTCTGTCACTCTTGTTTGCCCAGGCGGTCAATGATCCGTCGAAGGCGGCTTACAAAAGTTTTAATCGACGCCCGTCTCCCTCATCTCCGTCGGTCTTCATTCCGGATGGCCGAGCACGCGCTCGGTTGCTCGCTCTTTTTTTTTTTTTTCCTCGACGACGATCAATCTCGGCCCGCGCCCAAGGGAGATCCGTCGTCGGTAATAGAATTAGGAGCGAGGAATGCGCTTTCCTCGCACGCGCGACCGAGATCCGAGCGCGTGAATCCGGCAGCGCGCTAAATTTCGCGAGAAGCTGACAACGGGCGCGCAAAGCGACGGGGATATGTAAGTTCCCGGTAGGGGAGACGTCTTCTCCTCTTTAATGCCCGACGAGCCCCATGGACCAAATATCGATCCCGCGCGGGGCGTACCCCACCGTACCGAATTACCCCTACGTAGGAAAACCGACTGACGTCACAGCATATATCCCCTTTAGTAGGTCAGTGTGCCAATTTTCGAAATGTAATTCGAAACAGCCGACGTCTCGAATGATTCTTTTCGCGAGACACAAAGTACAATGCACTCTTGTCGAATGTCAAAGAACTTTCAATTAAGGTTTCCATTTTTT